AGCGCCCCAAGAGTGCCCCAAGAGGCCCCAAGAGGCGCCCAAGAAGCCTCCAAAAGGCTCCCAAGAGACCCCCAAGAGGCCCAAGAGGCTCCCAAGACGGCCCAAGACGGCTCCAAGAGCGAAAAGGCGAGAAAGCACAAAACATTGATTTTACCTAGGTTTTGGAAGGATTTTGGCATCTTGGGGGAGCCCAAGAGGCGACTCGAGGCACTCTAGAGGGGCAAGGCTAATAAGCAACCCCCCCTTTTTTGATAGATCTCATCCAAGATGGCCCCAAGAGCGCCTCGAAGGCTCCCAAGAGCGCCCCAAGAGCGCCCCAAGAGGGCCCCAAGAGGCCCCAAGAGGCCCCCAAGAGCCTCCAAGAGGCCCCCAAGAGACCCCCAAGAGGCCACAAGAGGCTCCCCGAGATACGCAAGAGGCCCCCGGGACCGCCAAGAGGCCCCAAAGACGGCCCAAGAGGCCCCCAAGCTCGCCATTGTCCTCCTCCTCCTCTTTTTCTTCCTCCTCCCTCCTCCCCCTCCCCCTCCTCCTCCTCTCCTCCTCCTCCTCCTCCTTTTCCTTTTCCTCCTTCTCGTCCTCCTCGTCCTCGCAGTCCTCCATCTCCTCCTCCTTATCTTCCTCCTCCTCCTCCTCCTCCTGCTCCTCCTCCTGCTCCTCCTCCTGCTCCTCCTCTACCTCCTCCTACTCCGACGACGACGGCTCCTCCTACATCCTCTCCCTCTTGGGGTATATGGCGGCTCACCCCGCCCTCTGTTCTTCTGCATGCTCCCCCGCTTCCCTCATAACCTCCACTCCCCTGGGACTCATTTCTGGACGGGCTGGTGGGGATACGCGAAGCGTCTAGAATTACCAGCCCTTTTTGTATGCAGGGGCCGCCCTGGCTAGGAACAAGGAAAGGCGACCTTGCTAGGAACAAGGAAAGGCGACACCAGCACCACCGGGGCGAGGGGATGCGAGGAGCACAGGGGGTCTCCCTGGTGGTGTGGTCCCCATCTCTCGCTCGAGACATCCCCAGCCTCCAGCACGGGGAGGCATCGTTGACCTCCTCGCTGGAGGTGGCCCCCCTGGTGGTGTTGGTGTCGCATCTCCACCCTCCGACTTATGCGGAGGCTCATGCGGGCCGCTGGCGAGGCACGCAACATTGGAGACGAGAGCGCTCATGCGTGACCTCGTGCGGGGAACTTGCGCGCCAACGTTGGCGCACATGGACCCGTTGTCTGTGCTAGTCTCGGACGGGGCTAAGACGAGGACACATCCGTTCTAGAGCGTTCCGGAACGGTCCCAGAGCGTTCCTGAACGCTCTGAGAAGGCCGCGGAACCCAAACATACTCCAGAATCGCTGGATCTGAGAGATTCTTAAGTTATCCTCACCCCATGTGATCCTCCCCCTGTCTTCGTCTAATCGTCGCCAAACTGCATTTTTTGATCCGCAAGGAGGAGGAAGAGGAGGAAGAGGAGGAGGAGGAGGAGGAGGAGGAGATGAGGAGGAGGAGGAGGAGGAGGAGAAGGAGAAGGAGGAGAAGGAGCGGTCGGCTCCAGCGGCGGGGCGCGACGGAAGCGCGTGGCGCACGCGGGGAACATGCGCGGGGGAGGCCCTTTGCGGGGCGGCCCCGAGCGCCCGCAGCACTCGAGGGCTCTCCGGGACGTGCCGGAGACGGGCTCAGAGGTGCTCGCCGCGGTCGGCGCGTGCGCAGATCGAGGAAGGAAGAATGACATGAACATACAAAACTCGGAGGTCCGCGCGGATTTTTCGGATCCGCGTTGGACCCCCCTGGCGGCCCCTCCGGCGCCGCCCCTGGCGCGCTGCGCGCGCCAGGGAAGGGGGTCCAGCGCCGATCCGAGAAATCCACGCGGATCTCCGAGTTTGTATGTTTATATCATTCTTCGTTCCCCTAGCAAAGGCGTCGCAGCTCCAGGGCCAGGTCGCGGCGCACACTGTTTTACGTCGGCGGCTAGGCAGAGGGACTGCGCTGGCGAGTAAAGCGAAACGGGGCAGCGGTGGTTAGGCGAATTCAGCCACCATGCAGGAGGGGGGAGGGGGGAGGGAGGGCGACGAAGCGACGGCCGACGAGAGGGGAGAGGCGGGAGCCGGGCCCGCTCAGAGCAGACCCAGGTGCGTGGCGGGGCCGGCGCCGAGGGGGGGCCAGCGGCGGAAGCGGGGCAGCGGGGCCGGCAGCAGCGGGGGAAGGCTGACGGAGTCGCGGCGCACACACCGAGCCCCTCCGAACCTCCACGGCGGGCCAGAGGCTCGGTGGCGAGCGAGGGGGGAAGCGAGAAGGAGAGGGCATTCACGGAAGGCGGCGGGACTCCTCGGAAGCCCTCGCGCCTTCTGAGAGGCTCTCGCTTCTGTCTTCGGGG